AAAAAAAAAAAAAAAAAAAAAAAGATGATGAGGGAGTTCACCTCTGAACTGTCATTTGGGATGAGATCCAAAGAAAGAGGAGTCAACCATTTTAAGGGGTAGAAGGTGTTCCAAGGAGCAGAAACAGCAAGTGCAAAGGCCCTGGGGCAGGGAGAGCTTGCTCTGTGGGACACTGGAGTGGCTGGAACAGGGGAAACAGGGATGGGGTTGGAGACCTTAGAAAGAGTCTGACTTGAATTCCAAGGGCCATAGAAAATCATCAGAGGTTTTCAACAGGTGTATTTGATTTACACAGTAATTGCTCTTTAAAGGCTTGCTGTTATCATTATGAATAATAAGTGAAGCCCAGAGAGGAATAGCAATTTGCACAAGGTCACAGAGTCCCACAGCCACTTCCTCTCCTTCCCCTCCACTAAGGAGTCATGTGGATCAGCCCCAAGCTGGAGAGAAGGAGGTGAGGGTGGCTTCCCTTCCCTCATTCTCTCTCCTTCCCTCCGGCCATTTCCCGTGCTCCTGGCGCCTGCGTCCCAATTAGCCAGAGAGGCTGACTGTCTCAGCTCCGAATGACGGACACCTCCTGTCACCCCCTGACGGGTGAGGAGATTAACTCAGAGCAGTGCCGGCTTGGCTTAAAGGGACGAAGCAACTACATAAGCAAAGGAAGGGGGAGGAGGTGACCAGAACTCCCCTACCAAGGGCCCCCAGTGCCTTGGAAGGAAAGAGGACTGTAGGAGACCCTTGCCCTCAGAGAGGAGGGCTGGCAGGCAGGGAGAACCACCCCTACTCCATGATTGGCTGCTCCCAGCTGGAGCTGACTGGACTTCCACCCTCAGCTCCTCTGAGGGCCGCGACCATGCCTATGGGTGCTTCACAATTGAGCCTGCAGTTCCAGGCACAGGGTGAGTACCTAGTAAATACTTGTACACTGCTTGTGGTAAATACTTCTCATGCAGATTCATCCCATCCTCACAATATCCCATTTTAAAGAACAGAAACTTAGAAGAGACTGGTTCAAAGATCACATAGATAGACTACAGGGGTCCTCAAACTTTTTAAACAGGGGGCCAGTTCACTGTCCCTCAGACCATTGGAGGGCTGGACTGTGGGCCCCTGGACGAGTGAGTCGGCTGCTAAGCAGGACAGGCAGCAGCGGCAAAAACACCTGGCAGGCCGGATAAATGTCCTAGGTGGGCCATGCAGCCCGCTGGCCCTGGTTTGAGGACACCTGGCCTAGAAGCTGCCTCATGCCAAAGCCCAGCTTTTAACCACTATCATCACTCCTCTCTTTAGGAGGAGACTCAGTTCCTCAGCTCATGCCATGTAGGAATTTACAATCCATTTTGGGGCTATGAGATACAAGCCCCAGAAAGGGAAATTAACAGTAATTGCAGGCAAAGCCACTGAGTACCAAGCTGAGCAGCAGCTCCAGGTAACACTCCAAGAGAGTGCAGCCAAGAGAGAAGAGTAAAGAATGGAAGTGTGTGTTCTGGAGGAGAGGAGGTCAGCCTGGCTTATAAATTGTAGAGGGCAAGAGGAAGGCATTCAATTCCAGGCAGAGAAGAATTGCATGGACAAAGGCAGAAATGGGCAAAGCATGCAGATCTTGTCAAACCTTCAGGCTGCAAGAGACAATAATCCAACACACCCTGGCTTAAGCAAAATTGGAACCTACTAGTTCATTCTGAGGCTCAAATAGAAGAGTGTCTGACCCTAAGTACAAAGATACCAATTTCTTTTTGCTGGCTTCATTCATGGGTAGCTCTCCTCAAAAGTTGATGGCCCCAGATCCCTATACTACCAGATCAGATCTCCACCCCCAACCCTATTTTCCCAATAATTCCAACCAAAGCCTTGGAATTCAGCTCAATTGATCAGGCCCAACTCATACATTCATCTAGAAAGGGTCTGCTGATTGGCCAGGTCCCTCAGCAGCAGGGTAGGTAAGTCCTTCTAAAGCCCTAAGACTGGTGAAGAAGGGGAAAGGTAGTCCCTCTAGAGCACTGGTTCTCAACCTGTGGGTCACGACCCCTTTGGGGGGGTCTCCTGCATATCAGATATTTACATTATGATTTATAACAGTAGCAAAATTACAGTTACGAAGTAGCAAGTAAAATAATTTTATGTTGGGGGTCACCACAGCATGAGGAACTGTATTAAAGGGTCTCAGCATTAGGAAGGTTGAGAACCACTGCTGTAGAGGCAAGAAGGCCTTTCAACACCAGGGTGCTCTAGTCCCAGGGCTAGATTTTGGGCCCTGGGCGACCCTCCATGGGCAGCCTGAAGACCCCACACTTTCTTCCCAATTCTAAGAGTTTCCTGCTGTATAGATGACATCCACCAGCCCAGCTCTCAATAGGTAAAAGAGGCCTCCAGGAAGTCTCCTGATTTTTTTTTCCTTTTTTCTTTTTTTTTAGAGACAGTCTCATTTTGTCGCCCTCGGTAGAGTGTTGTGGCATCACAGCTCACAGCAACCTCCATCTTTTGGGCTTAGGTGATTCTCTTGCCTCAGCCCCCCAAGTAGCTGGGCCCACAGGTGCCTACCACAATACTCGGCCATTTCCTTGTTGCAGTTTGGCTGGGGCTGGGTTCAAACCTGCCACCCTCGGTATATGAGACCGGTGCCCCACTCACTGAGCCACAGGTGCTGCCCTATTTTTTTTTCCTATTTTTTAATTTAATTTTATTATTATTTTTTTTTTGAGACAGAGTCTCACTATGTCACCCTCAGTAGAGTGCTGTGGTGTCACAGCTCACAGCAACCTCAAACTCTTCGCCTTAAGCAAGTCTCTTGCCTCAGCCTCTCAAGTAGCTGTGACTATAGGCTCCTGCCACAATGCCCTGCTACTTTTTTTTTTTTTTTGGTTGCAATTGTTTAACTGGCCTGGGCTGGGTTCAAACCTGTCACCCTTGGTGTATGTGTCTGGCGCCATAACCACTGTGCTACAATCACCTGGCCAAGTCTCCTGGTTTAAAACCAGAGAGGGGCTCGGTGCCCATAGCACAGTGGTTATGGCACCAGCCACATACACTGAGGTTGGTGGGTTCGAACCCAGCCAGGCCAGCTAAAGCAACAATGACAACTGCAACAACAACAAAAAAAACAAAACAAAAAGAACCAGAGGGGTCTGGATTATTTCTCTGCCAAGCTTGCTCTGATGCCTTAGATGTCTCCATGGGTCTCCACCCATCCTTCACCCTTAGCTCAGCTGTGAGTTTCCCCTAGAATTTGTTTCATTATCAGGTTCTTTACTTTCCTTTTATAAAGTCATCAGTTGACTGGAGTCCAAGGGCAGTCTTGCAACAGGAAAGACTATGGCCAGGTACCAGAAAGGACTGCCACAGAACATTTCACCATATAGCCAGGAATGGATGTGGTTGTCAGTCTTAGAAGACAGTCATCAGCCCCACCAACTCCCAGGTTGAGAGCTGTGGCAGGCAGCCCATCCGAGATAGAGCTAATGACTCTGGAGGTAATGAGCTGAGTTCACCTGGAGGAAGGGGGAGGGACCAGACTTTTAGCAGTAATGCTCAAGGGCAGGCGTCCTCAAACTATGACCTGCGGGCCACATGTGGCCTGCCTAGGGCATTTATCCGGCCCACCAGTGTTTTTGCAGATGCTGCCTGTCCTGCTTAGCAGCTGACTCATCCAGGGGCCTGCAATCCAGCCCTCTAATGGTCTGAGGGACAGTGAACTGGCTCCCTGTTTAAAAAGTTTGAGGACCCCTGCTTAAGGGTTTGGAGCACTGTCTTAAAAGTCATATTAACAGAGATTTGAATCCCAGGTCGACAAAGTTACCTTGAACTTGCCCTCTTCAGCTTTGGTTTTCTCAGGAGCAAATGGGGTAATGCAAGGAAGGCCTGATCTCAAGGGATAGTGGAGTTCTATTTGTTTTGGGATTTTGTTTATTTATTTATTTATTTTTTAAACAATCTCACTTTTATCACCTAATGCCTTGGCATCAGCTACCTCACAGCAACCTCAAACTCCTGGATTAAGTGATCCTCCTGCCTCAGGCTCCCCAGTAGCTGGGACTAAAGGCGCCTGCTACAACACCAGGCAAATTTTTCTATTTTTAGTAGAGATGGGTCCTGCTCTTGCTCAGACTGGCCTTGAACACCTGAGCTCAAGTGGATCCTCCTGCCTTGGCCTCCCAGAATGCTAGGATTACAGGCATGAGCCATGGCACACACCTGCACACTGGATAGTGAAGTTCTAATGAGATATTGCACACCGGGTGCTGGCACCACTCCTGGCACAGAGACTCTTCTATAAAGAGGCCGTAGTTACTATTAATATTCTAGCTCTGGTCAGGACTGGTCCTTACCTGGGAACTTGAGACAGCCCTTTATGGACCTCAATTTCTTGGTTTGTACTTCCAGCCCTCTCACTCCCAGAGTGGTTGACTTGGATGATCTCACTGAAGAGAAGACCCCTCCCTCATCGGTCAGTCCATGGGGGGGCTATGCTGGGGGGTGGGAAGGCAGCAATGCCCAACCAACATTTTCACCAGGCTGGGCGGGCAGCGCCAGGCAGGCGGGAGCTGGTCAGGTTTTTAATTGAACATGATGCAAATGAAATGTAAATACCATGCAAATAAGCTCTTGCCAGGAGGCGCTGGGCTGAGAGCAGAGGGAGCAGGGAGGGGACTGCTGAGCAAGGCTCCTCCCTGGCCCCCCCTCCTCTCTCCCGTGGTTGCCTACGCCCACCCCCTGGGCTGCCCACCCAGCTGGGCCATTCCATTCCGGTAACAGCAGGTGGGCGCTCCATCCCCACAGCCCCCTCCCAGACTCCTGCGGCTCCTGGACATGGTGGTGTGCTCAAGGAGGAGGCAGGGACCCTGTGGATGGAGCCAGGCTGACATACACAGAATCACATAGAAAGACCCACATGTAAAGGGACAAACAGATATAGACAGACAAAAACACATATTCCCTCTCAAGCCCCTGCAACACTGAGACCTACTCAGAGACAGCCAGTCACACATAAATATACACATTGCACTTTCAATCATAAATACATACAGTGGCACAAATAGACACAGTCACAGGGCACATACATACACACACATACTCTCTCACTGCCTATCCTGTAAGGACAGCAGATTGATGTCCCTGTGCCGGCTGGAGGTCAGAGAGGTTGGGAAGTGGTTGGGGACAGGCACCTTGTGTGGTCAGAGCCTGGTGATCTAAGGTAGGCCAAACAGGTGATACCAGGTGGAGGGTCTTCAGGGTGCCTGGGCCTTTTGCCCACCCCACCATTCCAAGACACATAACCATAATCCAGGGCCACAGCCACTAGACATCCCAGGTGTTGGTCCATCCTCCAAGTCCTCAAAGAACTCTGGCTCCCATCCTGGGATTCAGAGTCCCCTGAGGTCCCACAGACCTCACTCCTAAGGCAGACAGCCATTTGAATGAGGCTGGCCCAAGAGGATAGGGCGTGGTTGGCTAGGTCAGAAATTGATGTATCACCTTACCAAGGGGTAGAGAGTGAAGTGCAAAGGAGTAGGGGAAGGGCTGAACAGTCTGGACAAATCTCCATTCCACCCAGGATCCACATCTGGGGGTGGTCTCGGCCCCCTCTCTGTGACTCATGTCCTACATTTAACTCTCATTAGTGCCTCTGAGCCCAGCTGGGAAGGATAATGGCCAAACTCCCCCAGCAGACAGGGTGGGCCACCCTGGCCTAGAGACAGAGCTTTGTGGGAAAGCAATGCTCATCATCCCTTAGCCTTAGCAAAGATCATCCTCCAACCCACAGAATAAGGGACTGAAGGTGGAACCACCCACCCGAGGCCCCCACCAGATGCACCACAGCCTCAGAGAGTACCTCATCTCAACCAGGGGCCAGAGATCGGGAAGGAGGGAAAGGGGCAGACCTCACAGAATCTCAGGCAGGCCAGGATCTCAGACAGCCCAAGCTGCTAGTGGTCCCATGGCCTTCCAACAACCCCTGCTCCTTTGCATGCCTTATACAAGGTGGTGGTGGATGAATGGGGGCCAGAGAAACAAAGATATGGCCAAGACCCATGGCCATTTTAGGCCTCCTTCCCTCTTATTTTGAGTACAACTGCTCTGTTAGTCTCTCACTCGTGAGTGCAGAGCCCAGGAAGGCTAAGCCAAAGACCCCTATCCTGCCCGTCCGCCCCAATAGAAGCCAGTTCTGCCTGCCTCCGCCACACTCCCTCCCAGCTTCCCTTCTCTGTGGGAAGGAGGCAGCTGGGGCGGGGGTGGCCGCGGGAGCGTCTTGCCCGTGTGATCGTGCCGAGCAGGGAATTCATTCGGGGCCATGTGGGAAAGACATTAGTGCTGGCCGCCCTGCCAGCCAGGAATGCGCCCCCCACTCTGCAGCAGCCGCCTGCCTGGCCCAGAAATGGTGACTCATATGCTCCAAGTTCCCACCCCCTCATCCTGTGCCCTCTACAGCCCACCGCAGGTCTGGTCTGGGTTTTCTACCCTCCCACCTTTGCTCCTGCTGGTCCTACTACGTGCCTTGCCCATCTTCCATTCTCTCATCTCTTATAAATACGAAGCAGATCACACCTCTCAGGGAGTCCTCAGACACCACCTTCCTAGGTGCCTGTCTATTCTCTGGACTTCCTCTGGTTAGAACACTCCTTTGGGACTTAGTTCCTAAGGGTGTCTCCCTCACACTGGAATGATTCACCTCTGGGTGCCCACAACCAGCATGGGACCTGGAGCACAGGGCAGGTGCAGAAAAAAGTTTGGGAAGCAGAGCACTGTGTAGGGAAAATAATAAAACAATGCCACTTACTTCACAGAGTGTATAAGCTCGGACCCTTAGTCCCTTTGTCTGAGCCTTGCTTTCTTCATTTTATAGACTGGGATAACAGTATCCAGCCCAGGTGCTAGCAGGGACAGCCTGTGCAAAAGCTAATGTCTGAAAAGCTCGGGACCTGCCACTGAGAGGGACTCAGTCATGATGATAGTAGTGATATTACTTAGTTATCATGGCTATTTAATGGCCCTACTCTGTGCCAGGGCCCAGGCTGGATACTTTCTAGATTTATCTAATCTCTGCCTTAGTCCTATGAAGTAGGTTCTGTTGTGATCCCTCTTTTATAAATGAGGAAACATTGAGGCTTGGCAAGGGAAGGCACTGACCCAGGTGTGCACAAGAAACAAAACCCTAAGCCCACACCCAGAGCTCTGATCCTGGCATGCCCAGAGCTCTCCTGAGCCCATGTGGAAGTATCCCATAGGTAGGCCGGGCACAGTGGCTCACACCTGTAATCCTAGCACTCTGGGAGGCTGAGGTGAGTAGATCGCTTAAGCTCAGAAATTTGAGACTGGGTGGCTCCTGTGGCTCAAAAGGTTAGGGCGCCGATCCCATATGCCAGAGGTGGAGGGTTCAAACCCAGCCCTGGCCAAAAAAAAAGAAAACCTTGGGCAGCACCTGTGGCTCAGTGAGTAAGGCGCCGGTCCCATATACCGAGGGTGCTAGGTTCAAACCCAGCCCCGGCCAAACTGCAACAACAAAAAATAGCTGGGAGTGTGGTGGGTGCCGTAGTCCCACCTACTCGGGAGGCTGAGGCAAGAGAATCACCTGAGCCCAGGAGGTTGCTGTGAGCTGTGTGATGCCATGGCACTCCACCAAGAGCGA